TTGTTGCTGCTTATGGACAACTAATTCCATATAATTCCCCAGGTTCTCCATGTAGGTTAGGCTCAGTTTAACTGTCACCTCTTCAAACCTTTTGTGGTTCTTTGCAATGCTAGAATACCGTTAAGGGTATAAACCCTAGTAGGGGGAAGCAAGAGTGTGGGCCCCAGCCTAGCGTCTGCTTGCTAATCTCAGTCCTGGGGACTGATCTGCTGAATACCACACCGTAATTAGAAGTGTGTAACCAAACCTTTTCTGAAGATCATATCTGTAGCTTTTTTTTTTTTTTTTTTAGACTTAAGGAAGATGGCTGTCTACAAAAGGCCCCTGAGCAGTTTAACAAAAAACACTAGCGTTTCAGATACTGAAAAGTAGAATGAGACCACTAATTTCACTCAGCTAGAGAGAAATTTGAGTCTAGCTCTTCAAAGATGACATGCTAGTATCCCCCATGCCCTTACCTTCTTTAGTTTTTGAAGTAATGCTCCAAATAAAATGGGAAAATGTCAGTATCTTGAAAAACGTAATACAAAAAGATTGTATGACTGATGTGTGCCTTAACTTAAAGTAACTATTGTAATCTCTTTCAGTGATAATTCACAGGTTTTTCAGCCTTATGTGTTGCGAACCCGCAGGAACAGTACAACGGTTGTGAACCGTCACAGTATGGTAAGTAATCTTAAACACAGTGTTCACACCTCAACAATGTATAACTGAGTGAGGGGAAATAAAAAGTTTAAACTTCATTTAAAGCTGTACTGAAATATTCTTACGGACCTCCTGGCTGGAAAATGGATTTCTTTTAATTACTTGCACATTTCCTCTGAAAAAACATCTAGAAAATGTCTTGAAAGCAGGATACCTCACAAAGCGTATTACTGATTAATACCCTGTCTTTTTGTTTTGGTTAAAATTGCCTGTAGTTGGGATACCATAACAGAGTGGAACCCAGCATCTCTTCTGGTCTCAAAGCTCAATGCATGGAATTTGCCTGTGGGAAAGAGTAATTGCAGTCTCATTTTAAAATAACCTTGCACAGTTGAACTGTGTCTAAAAAAACAACACCCCAAAAACTTTCCATTTACTTGACTCTGGTAGGGTGACTAGAGCTAGAGGTGGACAGCTGGCTTCACAGGATCAGATTAAGAGAAGGTAATTTTAAAGTAATTCATATGCTGAATGTTACTCTACTCATTACTGTTTAGGGCTTTCAGCATACAGTCCTGTAATTTATTTCACTTTTCAAAGATGTTTGTAGGTCACTCTTACGTGTTTCCCAATCAGTTGTTAACTTGGACAAATCACGGAAAATATCATTACTGTTTTTCAGCTAAAATCATTTTCTTTTTCCTGTTTTTATAGAAAGTAAACAGGGCTTTGGAGCTGTGCTCCAGCTCCAGGCAAAAACCTGCAGCTCCACTGCTCTGGAGCTGCTCCGGGCTCCGCTCCAAAGCCCTGGAAGTAAAGATTAGGTCTTGGTTCTTTAGAGAGGTTATGGGACTCAAAAGGTCCTAAAAATCTATAAAATATCTGTTGCCTCTGTCTTACATTCAGCCTAGGAAAAGCATGACAGAATTCTGGTTCTACGCTTTTTGTTACGGAGCTGTCACTTCACTGTCTGCCCTATGCTTAATGTTGTTAGTAGTCATAGTAAATGCTTATTTCATGATAATGCCCAAAGCCCTTGATTAGATCTATGTGCTGTACAGACCTAGCTACAAGACAGTCTTTGCCCCAAAGGGGTTAAGTTTACTGCAAAGGGCTATTTCCAATATTTAAATTCCCTACAACTTTTCCCACTGGCACGTCTGAAAATTTGTGATACCATTTGATTTGACTTGATCTCTGTAGATTATCTGAGATAAATTATTGGGTTTAAGGCTTGTGAACAAAATCTTACCACTTTTAAGTACAAAGTTAATTTTGTAATGTTCTAACTCAGTAGCTCTCAACCTTTTCAGACTACTGGACCCTTTTCAGAAGTCTGATTTGTCTTGCGTACTCACTTAAAAACTACTTGCTTACAAAATCAGACGTAAAAATTTAAATGTCACAGCACACTGTTACTGAAAAATTGCTTACTTTCTCATTTTTGCCATATTCTAGAATAAATCAATTGGAATATAAATATTGTACTTACATTTCAGTGTATAGTCCATAGTGCCGTATAAACAAGTCATTGTCTGTATGAAACTTTTTAGTTTGTACTGACTTGGCTAGTGCTTTTTATGTAGCCTGTTGTAAAACTAGGCAAATACCTAGATGAGTTGATGTACCCCCTGAAAGACATCTGCGTACCCCCAGGGATATGCATAGCCCTGGTTGAGAACCACAATTCTAACTCATGCTCACATTCTTATTGCAGTACCCCACCTTTCTTAATGGTTTAGATTATTGCTCCTACATTTGAAGGCAGTAGCTAGTGGCTTCCTACAGTGCTGAGAACTGTGCCATCCACTGATTAACTGAATGAACTTAGTATAGCTAGTGCTCTCTTCTTACCAAGGTCCACTATCATCTTACTACAATGTGGTCTGAGCACTTATTGACACTTGGCTATCTTAATTCTAATTTAAAGAGAACATAGGTGACTGAGAATAGGCTGTATGCAGACTACTGATTTATGATTGAGAAGTGGATGTTTACTCTTTTCTAGTTGCTGTCATCATCTCCAATTCGAATCCCTAGCAGCAGACTTCATCAAATCAGAAGGGTAAATTGCATTATTCTACTTCAGATGTGATATTTTATCAAAACATTTAACTTTTCCTTCTCTTCATGCAGTATTTGATATGGAAATGACACTGCTGGCGTTTCTTCTCCATTAGATCAGTTTAGCTCTGTTTCATCCCCTAACCTACAGTGTCGCCTACAGTCTGGAGGGGTGTCCTCACAGGGCTTGTTCTTTCTTCATATTGAAGTGCTTTGGCACTTATAAAGCTATTGTTATGATCAAGATATGGGGCTCTGGGATGAACAGGGAGAAGTGGTGAGTTGGGATGGATGACAGGCCTTTTTTTCTGGAGTGTTACTCCTGCTTGTTTAAATTCTAAAGGCAGATGACTGAACTAGGAAGAGTTCATTCAGCTTTGAGTACTGTGATGAACTAAATATTGTGAAAGCTTATAGTGCTTATCTTCTGCAGGAGGAAGGAGTGGATTTAATGAACAGAGAAACAGCACATGAAAGGTGAGTGTGACTGAAACGAAATAAGAAAGTAGCCAGACTTGTCATCTCTGTAGCCACTGATGGGATTTTTTGTGTTTTAGGGAAGTGCAAACAGCAATGCAGATAAGCCAGTCATGGGAGGAAAGCTTGAGTCTGGTAATCTCTTTACAGATGTTTAAATTTTTAATTCTACTTCTACACTTAACCATTGGCTTTAAGGAAAAAGTGGAAATAACTTGGGAAATGATTTTAGAAAACATAAGTTTGTTGTTCTGGTTGCTCCACTGACTTGGCCATTGAAATGTTGTGGCTCAGGTTGTAAGGCAATGTACTATGTCAGCTTAAGGATGACATTTTGTATTTACAGAGTGACAATGACTTGGACAAGTCCGAGAAATCTTCCTCTCCAAAGAGAATAGACTTCATCCCAGTTTCCCCAGCACCTTCACCCACCCGAGGAATAGGGAAGGTAGGATAAATGAAGAACAAGAAAGAAAACACAAATTTCAGATTAAGATGAACTGCAAAGGATTTTTTTTTAAAAACTCCCCAAACTAATTTACTGTTTTTAAAGAAAAAGTGTCTATAACCATTGTTAAATCTAACTACTGTTGACTTTCTCAATATCTAAAACTTACTGCCTAAGCCTGCAAAATCTGACCTGCTGGTTCCTTCACCATGCTGAGTGACTTCAGCAGCTGCATTTTGTGTGCTTTGGGGAGGGAAGATGCTAGGGAGGCAGCTGTGGTAATCAAGTTGAAGGCCTGGATGAGATCTTAAGTTGTCTAAACAGAAAGAAAAGGATGGATCTTAGAAATACTATGGAGGAAGCAGCAAGATTTGCATACAAGCTGTATATGTGTGGAGGAGAGAGAGAGGGAGGAGTCCAAGACCCCAGTTTACAGATCTGAGTGCTGGGAAAGATGGTGATCGTGTCAGCAGTGACAGCTTGGGGTCGTTGGAGCCTTTTTGGGAGGAAAAATTAGGAGTTCAACTGTGGCCATGTTAAGTTTAAATGGATGGCCCTTTCCCTTTAGTCTGCGTTGTTCCTGGGTCTCTTCATTGCAGACCCGGGAAGGGTGGAGTGGAGACACAGACCCTCCCCCTAGCACCACTTTTTTCCCCTCCAGTGAGAATCTGATAGAGATTGAGGTGGAAATCAGCAACCATGTTTACTTCTTAGCCTCGTCTTTATTGAAGTTATCACATTCTTCCATGGTTACTGTATCATGGAAGTTCAACCAATGTTCGCACTCACACTACTGCTAGTGTAGAACAGCCACAGTATTTTTACCACTGTCAGGGAAACCTGCTGTAAGCAGTGCTGGTGTATGTGATGGTAAGATGATGGCTGTTTGTCTGGATAGTAGTGTTTGTACTGGGAGGATTACAACTGTCTCAAAGCAAACTTGACTGAGTTTGACAAACATCAGTGTGCATGCAGCTCCTTGGGCTGAGTTCAGCTGCAGGAGCACAGAATGGATGCAAAGAGTCAGACTGTGTTGCCAAATTCATGTTACAATTTTTTTCAATAGGAGAAAAATATATGGAGTATTTTAAATAAGCATGGGTTGTTTTTTGGAGAGGAGTGGTTTAAAGATTAATATAGTCCTCTGTACTGATGCTTTTAGAAATAAGGGCAGAACAGGGACCAAATCCTATTTGGATAACATGCTTCTTTCTCTGTCTTAACTTTTGATTTCAGAATTTTTATTTTGAAGCGTTTTGACTGTTAATTTGAATGAAGTGATGCTTTTAGAATATTTTGTAAATTCAGTTTTACAGAGCTCTTAGATTTGGTTTTAATTTCCTGTTCAAGCTTCCAGTAGGTTATTGTATTGTTGGTCTTGTTACTTTCACTGAGGGTTTTGGTTGGGGTGGGAAAAGGTATTGATTATTTAAAAAGGAAATTGCAGAAGTATTTTACTGTGTAATTCTTTTCCCAGCAATGTTTTTCACCATCCTTACAAATGTTTGTGAGTAGTAATGGATTACCTCCAAGTCCTATTCCTAGTCCGACAAGGCGATTCTCAAAGTAAGTCAAGATGTTTCAGAGTAACAAATGTATACTGACCTAGTTTCAATAGTAGTCTGGCAGTTTAAGACAGTTCAGTGTTAAAATTCAGGCCTGGAAATTGGTTTGAAGCAATTTTCATTTGTAATCTCAACTGGAATCCATTAATAAAGTGTCTTCTGGATGATTCTAGTTTTGTCCTGCTTTAAAAGGTGGCTGAAGCTTCCTTTCAATATTTTGTCAACAGGTCATCTTTAGAAATTTTTTTTTTTAAACTGCCCTGATGTTGAAATTAGAGACTCCACCATTGCCCCACACACCCAAAAATCTTTGAACGTTAAACTTTGCAAGAGGAAGTTGAATGCTAGCGTTCTTTGAATTCTCTTTAAATTTAGATTAGACTGGGTCCTTCATAGAGAATCTCAGAGCGCTTACCAAACTTTTTAAACCCCCCAGATGTATACAAGCAGTATTATATCTAACTTACAAATGGATAAAATGAGGCTGACTTTCCATAAGTAAAGAGCAATTAAATGACCTACCAAAGATCATATAGTAGATATTCTTCTCTAAGGAGACACAATACCTTTCAAAAGCTAACTTTTCTGTTTAACTACAGTATCAGACTCCCAACTGCCTAAGTGTTTGAACTGTATAGAACTGTTTTAAAACAGGAATTCAGTTTTTAAAATGTGATTGTATATTGGTTTAGTATATAAAACATTTTGTTCAAGCTTAAATTTTTTTAGAATTTGATACCAGTCTTGGCTCTTTTAGCAGGAGGAGTCAGAGTCCAATCAACTGTATCAGGCCCAGTGTTCTTGGTCCCATTAAAAGGAAAGGTATGTTTAAATACTTCTGATATTTTAGAGATGTTGTTGTGAATTGAGGTCACTAGATAGACTTTCTGCCTTTAAATCCTAATGCTAAGCTAAGCAGTAGCCTTTCCTCAAAATATAGTGCACGCTCCTCCATGATGTATTGGAATTTACCAATCCAGACTTCCAGCTGTAAAATAAAACAAAAGGGCTTGCCTAAAACACTATAAATTAATTTATAAATCTGACTAGTCACTTGTATTTGCTATTTAAAACTTAGAATGTTTTTCACCTTTGACTATTAGTAAAAATGGGCTGGAGACTGGAAAGATTGACTTGCTAAAAATCAGATGTAAATCAAAATCTATGCTAGATGGGCATTCATTTTTAGCTGCCGGAAGCTGTAAATTAAGACTAATTCTAAGATAAATATGCTTCACCTTCTGTGAGGCTTTTTTAGATTCTCTGGCAGGGTGGATCAAAACATTTTAAAAAAAATCAAAATTGGATTTTGATTTAAATTAAATACAGGCTTATGTAGTTAAAATAAACCTATTTAAAATTAAACTTGAAATTGATAACCCTATGTTTTACTAGGCTACTTTATACTCCTAACATCATTTAAACTAAATACAAAAATTATTAAGCAGTACATGTTTGCTGCCATGTTTTAAAGACCGTTATACCATGAACTGGTGGAAGTCAGGTTAAGCACCTGGAGCCAGAGTCGAAGTATTTAAGCTAGGTTTGGACTGGCTCTTCTGAGGGTATAAGGAGAATATTTTCTTCTTTTCAGCTTATTCATCCAGTTCAGTTATTACTTCATTCAAAGTTAAGAAACTAGTTGGGAGTTGAAAAAGCAGGAAAGCTTGTTTCTCTCTTCCACTCTATGAACAAAAAATATGTGAGAGAGCATGAGGTCTACTAGTTCTAAAATCTTGAAGGACATGGTGACCAAAACCAACCAATCAATTCAATTCACTAACTACAGATAATACTTCCTTTGTTTTAATAAATCAGTTAGTGTTAAATACAAAACATGTTTTGATTTTCTCTTGTATAGCCAACATTTTAAGGTAGTCTTATTTTTAAAAATGCTGGTTTTATGCATTTAATAGAATTTGAATTTCTAGCCAAATAGATCTTGACACAAACCACAAGTAAAAAGTTAATCTAGTAAATAGAAATTGATGAATTATGCATTTTTAGCATAAAATGTAACCTGAATAAATTCAGCCTATATAATTGCTTAAATATAGAGTATCCTTCTGGTTAGCAAAAAGAAACACCAAATTTAATATAAAAAGCTATATTTAGTTGCAGATCCCCATGGTTCAGTGGATACCAACTAATGAGAATCAGCCTGTCCTTAAGAAAATAACAAAAGTACAAATGCAAAACATAATAAAAATCAATTATTTAAATCAAGGTTTCTGGCTTGATGATTTAAATAGTTATTAAAATTGGTGTCCGCCCTGTATTCTGGGATTACAACAGTACTGTGGCTCCCTCTGTATTTAACCCTCTTTGTTATACTAGAACTATATCTGGCTTCCATAAATGATGTTCTGAAGGAAATGCATTGTATAGTGGTACATTTCAAAAGTTTATTCTAATTCTAGAAGTATTTCTTTTTATATGTTTATTGAATATCTTTGAAATTTTATACCCAATGTTTGTTCTATACTATGAAAGTTCAAAAGATGAATATTTTTGAGAATTAGAGGGATGGAAGTAGCATAGAGGTACATGATAGTGTTTTCCCTTTGAAAATCTGCATTTCTTAACCAGAAATATGATGGTGTTTGAAGTAAAATTTAGAAAAATTTTCCATACTATTATTAATGGACACTGCATTAAACTGAGGGATTAAAAAAACTAATTTATCAATGCTTATGTGGCAATTACTTCTCCACCTACTCCCATCCAATTCTGTTGATCTTTCCTTACTCAACCATACCAGTGACATCTCCTTTTATTCTCCCTAAGTGTGTATTTATGAAATTGTGAAGTTGATCGTTTGCTTAAAAAAAAAAAAAAAAAAAAGTGGCAAAATAAATTGACCTACTTCTAATCTGTCAAATCAGGTCCAATTTATTTCAAATTTGATTAAAAAAAACCAGCCCTACCTTTGCTCCAGATGCCACTTATCTAGTTTTGAGGGGGAAATGTGAAGCAGCTTTTAGCACCCATAGTGAAACTCACTGAATGTAAGAAGCCAAAATACATTAGAGTGGACCACTTAAAGCAAAAGCACAGTACAAGTAAAGTCCAAACAGGAGCCTGCTTTCCCATTCCCCATTTCACTTTGGTGCTTTTTGGAAACGTGAGTTTGCTCTTCTACTGGAAACACAAACCAGTTTTAATTATGAATAAGGCTGATTTGGTTGTGGAAGTCACAAAATCCATGACTTCCAGCAACCTCCGTGTCTTCAGCCTGCGGTGGTTGGGAGCTGCAGGGTCCCCGGCAGGGAGCTGTTGGGTACCCCTGTGGCCTCTAGCAGCTGCCGTGGGGGACCCTAGCCACCGCCCAACTGCCCCACTTTAGGCAGTGTGGGGACCTGCAGATGCAGATCCCCATTTTGTCATGGATATTTTTAGTAAAAGTCAGGGACAGGTCACAGCTTCTGTGAGTTTTTCTTTTTTGCCCATGACCTGTCCCTGACTTTTACTAAAAACATCCGTGACAGAATCTTAGCCTTAATTATGAATAGTCCTTAATCATAAATGTCACCCTAAATACACCTAATTCCTTCATATCCTCCTGAAATACATAATTCTTGTTTCTTTAATTTTAAACTCTTAAATTGCTTAGTGGTTCTTAGTCTGCATTTATTACATGGTAACATGTTTAGTCATAGCCATAAACTGAAACAATCCCTAATAGGAAAGACGCAGTATATCAAAGTGTTATATTGTACAACAGTGAAATGCTAGCTGTTAAAATATCTTCTAGTGGTAAAAATGATACATGTTACTATGCAGCCTTCCTGTAGAATTTCACATTTCTTGAAAGAGTTGTCTGACCTTTTTCTTCTCAGTTTGTGTGAGGATCCAGAGTATTTTACATCTGTGTTCTTTAGCTTCAATCTGCATAATGGAAGCCATCATTATTTCATCAAAGGAGAATGAACATTCCTTGCATGCTACAGAAAATGAGTTTTCAGGGCTGCCAGTCTTGGAGTAAAGGCTGAGTGGTAGTGTATTTCTCCTACATTATGTACACAAAGTTCATTTATAGTATGTTTTTAATGTGAAGCCTTTCAATTAGTTCCCCAAGCTGGCACTAGAACTGCTATAAGTTAACTGGAAGCTGAAAAAGTAGTCCCCAAACTTCAAATACACTTTTGCTGGTAGACAGTGAATTAAACTACATCTGAAAAATCTCATGAACCTGGCAATAAAAAAACCCCAGAAAAATACTAAAGTATCAGATAATTGAACTTTGTATAAGAAACTGATAAATGAACTGGATATCATCCCACAGTATAAGACAGTGGTGGGCAAGCTGTGGCCCGTCAGACCGTTCATTTACATTTGCATCCGCACCGCTTCCTGCAGCTCCCATTGGCCGGGAATGGCAAACCGCGGCCACTGGGAGCTGCAGGCAGACGTGCAAATGTAAATGAAGGGTCTGACGGCCTGCCAGCGGATTACCCTGATGGGTTGCAGGTTGCCCACCACTGGTATAATATACTAAACATATAGGACCCAATTCTGCCTTTCACACTTACAATCCCAAAGAAGTCAACAGATTTATATGGGGGTGAGGACGTAATCTGTCTCGCAATGAGGAAGAAGTGATCAGGTGTTGTGCCAAATGTTTTTTGCGTTAGGCTGTGTGTGTGCTTTCATGCTTGTCAATATTGGTCTTAATATCCAGAAGGGCGTTCTTGGGTCCAAATAGGACACATGCTGTTTAAAGTTTTCAAAGTTATTGATATTGTGACAATAGATTTTTTTTTTTTAAGTGAACAAAATGGGAGCGATTGCCTGCTCTTAAATATTTAATTTAAGAAAATGATATGCGGATGGCCAGAAGCTCCAAGTTCATATATTTCCATTTACTAAGGCAGGAAACTGGTCCGTATAGCAGCCCAGTTTTAAACAAGTTATATAGCTGGCTGTAAAAACGAGTCCTTTTAAAATCACTTACATTTGACATTTATATTGCTTTTAAAAACATATGTTTAAAGCATATACAAGCTATATAATTCTAAATATATAACAATTTAAGCTTAACATCTCTGACAAATAACCTTTTAAAATATTGAGTATGAGACACTGCACAAGAGGCAAACTGCTATTCAACATTTCAACAAACACTGCAGAGTGCTCACTTCTGGGTTGGAACCCAGCACCTATTTAATAGCACAGTGCAACACTACACATTACTTCAGGGCAGGGAATGAAGAATACAGTATGCAAATGAAACTGCAAAAGGAGTTGATATAGGCAGAATGAAATCAGAGTTTGAATTCGGCAAGACACTGGTTCTAGATCCCAACTCTTCTGAAAAGTGCTGTGAGATCTTAAGAGTGACCAGAACCTTTGTTTTGCTGCACTTTCAGTGCAGCATTGTGTCCCTTAAACAATGTTGAAGCATTAGTTCAGTACAGACTCAGCGATTGGACTGAATAATCAAATCACTTCCTGTAGCTTTAGGAGTGTTAGGGCTCTTACCAAGCTCTGACCTGGCTGAATTAGAGATCTGACAAGATCACAGTGCAAGATGTTGTGCATGTAATTACTTACTATATGGGACACCCAAAATAGTCTTGGATAGAGAGAACTTTGAAGTTATGCTGCTGAAGATATTTCACAGAACCAAACAAGTTTGACTGTTAATTACTTTTCTCAGGTGAAATGGAAACTGAAAGTCAGCCAAAGAGACTTTTCCAAGGAACTACCAACATGCTTTCTCCTGATGTTACACATCTGACAGATTTCAGTTCATGGTAAAATATTGCATCATAAACACTGAAACGGCAAAGCGGAGGTCATTTAGAAATCCTCAGCACCTTGGTTTTTCAGAGGAATTTTAACTTGTGCTAAATAATTTGCATTTACAGACTAGTAGAAACTAAATAAAGGTTCCTCAACTCTCTGGAATTAAAGTTTTCTTGCTTGCTGTTTGGCTGATTTGACAAGCTGCCCATAAGTGATTCACTCTTCGTGGTCACATCTCACATGAACCTTTTTTGATACCTGGAATAGGCAGAGAATCCTTGCTGCTCACATGCCAGATGCTTCATAGTAAATTAAATTATTGTTCTTTTGTGTCCTTACTTTCCCTCAAAGCAGAAATCACTCAATATTGACTATAATTTGCTGTCTGCATCACCTGCTAGGTGCCCTGCTGTTCCAGAATGGTATAGTGAGCAGAATGATATTTGTGTAATTATAGTACAGTACCACATATCTCCTGGGCATTCCCAGAGGCCAGTAGTTGACATGAAGCCAAATTCTTATTATGATATTCCACAGTTAAGATTATATTGATGTGTCATTCACATTTTATTGATGTATCTCTGTCTAATGTCTGTTTCATAGAAACAGGAAGGTGACTTGTCTGGCTTGAGTCTTGTCTCTTTCCAAGGAGACACATCAGATAAATTAAGTGGTTCTAGAATAAGTGAGAATTGTGGCATTTTTCAACAGTTATGAAGTGCCGGTTTGCAAATAAAAATCTGGAATCACAATAGCCTTTTAAAATCCAAGTGTGGGAGAACTTTCTTCAGGAGAAAAAACTATTTTGCAAGATCCCGCTTTGAATGATGTATTTGAGAGTAAACTGGCTAATCAGTGGCATCAAAATAGCTGCATCATTGGAATCTTCATCAGAAAAAAATTTCTGTATTTCCCTTGTAATTGTTAAAGGCACTACTTCTATTAACTGACTTTTCTATTCTACAGCTGGTTGAAGTTTTGGTGTCAATTTATAATGCATGTTAAAAAAAAAAAAAATTCTGCTCCTCTTTCCCTTAAGGAGCATGAATGTATCCATAACATGCTAGAGGAAAATAAGGAGTCTTCAGGGCTGCCAGTCTTGCAGTAAAGGCTGAGTGGTAGTATGTCTCTCCTACATTTTTTTTTTTTATAAGTGCATTAACTTGGTATGCCAATTCATAGTTCACATGTTCTTAAGTAACCATTTTCCTTTGTCTCCAGTTTGTCTTCAGATATTCTCGATAGGAGTAGCAGCAGTATTGGTTCTTCCTCTGATTCACTGGCTAAAGGCAGCATTACCACAGAATCTCCAGTAACATGCTCAAACTCATGCTCTTCATTCATTTTGATGGATGATCTCTCACCTAAGTGACTTAATCTGTTCTGACTCAGTGTTTGGCTGTGCTGTTTCATTGCTGTACATTTCTACAGAGAAATGAAGAATTCCGATCCTTGAGAATCTTTAACATGAGGATTAAAATACTAATGGAAATTAATGTAATCTTATTTCTTGACAACTCTTCCCAATGGTTTTGATTTAGCCTTAATGGACACTTTAGACTATATTAATGTCTGGTTTTGATTATTTTACAAACAAGATGTCTGTTCAGTTTATACTAACTTTGTTTTAAAGAAAAAACCTTTTGATTCCTGAATAGGCATCTTTTTACAACGAGTGTTATTATTTCTAGGAAAATACTGTGTACTGTTACTGTCATGGTCACTTTGTCTGGAGAAACACGTGGTGGTTGCAGAGATGTTTGGAAATACTCATTTATTCTTTGACATTCTTTTTAGTAGTAAATTAGATTTCTCTAGATTATTTCATAAACAATTTCTGGTTAGGGGTAAATATCTAATTTCTCCCACTAACTAAAAGTAAAATGATTTCCCCCACTCTGTAGTTGCAGCTATCCTCAGCCATTTCTCCCACAGAAGGGGAAGAAATGCTTGGCTGTCTCTAGTGCTACTGGTAATTGCTTCATTGCAGTTGAACACTATATGGTTCTGGAAGTTGGTTGTGTTTAAAACAAAACACAGACACTTCTAGGGTGACTAGCATATTTATCAATAGGGGAAATACAAATACCCTGTGTGAAACATGGTTAACATAACTGCATAGTTCTCTCCCCACACCCTTCATCCAGGAGATTCTATGGAATATGGTAAATATTCATAAATATTTGGCCAAGGAGAAATAATCCCTGCCTTGATCTAAAATGCATGGTGCAAGTAACTAAGTTACTTAAACTACTGAGGAAAGAAGAATGTGCATGGCGCCATCAATGTCTCCTGTGGCATTGAGGCCATAGGTATTTTCGTGCCTTAGGGGACATTGTTAAAATTAAAGAATGTAAAACTGGTGGGTGGGCAAAGGACTTTGTTTGTAGAGTGCTTACCAGATGCTGTCTTCAGTGCTGCTTTCTCTTAGTGATTGCTCTTTTTCAAGGTGTTTCTTCCATTGGGAGGTGCTATGGAGAGTTCCAAGTATTCTGTAAGATAGCAGTGTATGTGTTCCTGTCACAGCTGCTGTATAGCTTTATGCCTTTGTCTGCCTTACAGAGGGCAGGGCCACTAAATTAACTTTAATTTCTAGGGAAAGGCTTTAAGATTGGATTGGATACTAGCTCTGCATACCATTTAAGGAGTTACATTTGAGTAGTAGTCTTGATACAGTACCTTGGTCAGTCTGAGGTAATACAATAGTATACTTTTTAAGAAGACCTAACTGGGCTAAAATAAATCCATTTGTAATCTACTGTTATTTATTATTTATAAACTATGTAAAAAAAGTCTGTGGTGATGAATTATAGTATTTTTTTATGATTGAATAAGGTTTTTTATGTTCAGTAATAATTGCTGGTTGGTTTCTATTTAATATGCAACGTTGTCTGCCAGAATCATAAGCTTCCAGTTTTGAATGTTTGTAAGGTGTAACAAATGCTTTTGTTATCTAAAAGTACAACTTCGGATTTCTGAAAGAAAATAGCACTGAATTTAAAGTAAGTGTGCTTTAAAGATGAGCACAGTCTCTGGCAATACTGTCTGGCTAAGAATGGGGAGGGAGCACCATATTTTTTCCACTCTAAAGAGGTTTAGTTTCCGATAGACCTGTCCTACATAGCATTTTACTTTTCAAGTGTTTGTTTTAAATTGTACTAAGTACCATAAATGGCCAATAGAGGCACTTATCTGTATTATCACTTCACCTGTGGAGCATTAGTTTCCCTGCCTCAAATAAATGTGCATATTGTAAAATATTGTCCAGTGGTGCCATTTTTAAATGAGCTCTACAGTATTCAATGTTAACATTCTTTGTATATGCACAGTGCTATTTCTTGCGTTTTGGCTTTAACCTAATGAATTTTTATCCGTTAATACTTTGCAAGGCTGTTTTGACATTTTGCAAAGTATTGATCAATAGTCTGTGAAAGTACAACTTATCATTGCCCCAATTTCATTATCCCATGCGTTTATTGGTACTATGACTGACTTTGAAATCTGCACAAGGGGTAGCAAAACAATAAAGCTTCTGCATGCTTTCTTATAGCTGAGAACACAGCTATTGGGGGGGTGGTCGGTTTTTGTTTTTTTTTTTGCTGACTAATCTCTCTGTACAAGTGATTGTATTCAAGATTTCTGTTTTTGTTAGTAGTGGGGAGTCATAAAATGCTGGCCTTTGTAGAATGTAATCTTCATAAAACAAATGCACAACTATTCAATTTTGTTACACTTTTTTTTTTTAAATGGTCTGGCTGTTCTCCACTCTTTGGAAGTCTCTACTGTTCACTAAAACTGTGTTAAGATACTGTCCACTTGTTTGATAATGCATGTCATCTTGTGGTCCTGACAGGCCTCATCTCAGACACTCAAATTTGTTTCACACAACTAGCTGTATGTAAAACCACTTCCTTTTAAAACTAGACATGTCAATCTTTCTTTGAAATACACTTTAGAATAAATTGCATATGAGTGACCAGCATATACACATCCAGTTATGAACCAGTTTTGAATAATTTGTACTCTAAAGCTGTTAAGGAAAAGATACCCCAAACTGTTAACCCAGCCCCAGCTCTAGACAGCCAAAGGGTGTAAGGAAAACAAATAAATATAGTGTACTACATATGTGGAGTACATTATTTTCTGTATTATCATCTATACTTAGAATGGTCAGGAGTTAGCTATAGTTACTGAAAGAAAGTCTTACCATGCAGAAGACAAATGAATCCTCCTGCTGCGTAGTGTAGAAACACTGAAGGGGGGAGAAGAGTTAGTCACTGACTAAACTGAAATATGTCCAAGCACTAACCAGCATATTTCACATTTAAATATTTTTCAGAAAGTCTGATTTCAGTCCTACATGAGAGCTGTGTGGGCAGACTCCTTTGCCCTCAGAGCCTTAATTAAAGCTATGGGGCTCTGTGTAGGTTTACTTGAGCAAATCTCACTGCAGGATTGGGACAAAAGTTTTTCTGTTGTGCCTATAGATAGGGTGGAATCAGCTGCTTCATGTTCGCTAGTGTGCAGATCCAAATTGTTAACTGTCTTGTAGAGCCAACCACCAATCCATTTATCATGCAAAGGCAAAGATGAGGGATCCTCTTTTCCCTGAAGGAATATCATCCACCTACACCCTTCCTGGCAACTCCATAAAAAAGTAATTTTGTATTAAAGTTGCATAATCCTTTTATGAAGTTACTATCCAAGTGGCTAGTACAGCTAACTTGCTTCTCTTACATAAGCTTTTGCAGCCTTTGATTACTTTGCCTTTAGAGTAAAAGCTAAAAAATATTGCCTTAGAGCTATTTGGTAAGGTTATTGTAAGAAAAGCTTCTTGGTTTCCAGGACCATGCTACAGCCAATGTCAATAGCAGTATTGCATTTTTCCTCATTTGTCTTAAACATAAATATTCCACCTGTGTCTTGAGAAAGGCCTTTTAGACTGGGAGGATATTCACTTTTATGTCACTTAAACTCTAGCAACCACCAAAAAAAAGCCCTTTTCTGTCTGTAACAGGGTGCCTCTTCTGGCCATTAGCATTAGCTACGGTTTACCGCTCCAGGCCAATGGGGGCTGCTGGAAGGGCGGCCAGTAAGTCCCTCAGCCTTCTCAGCTGGGCTCCATCATTAGTCAGGGGTTACTTAGGCCACAGCTGAGGGGAATTAAGTGGTCTATCTGATTAACTGCCCCCTATTCAGCCTCATTAACACCTTCTAGGCTAGTGTGGGCTGAACACCCCCATCACATTTGTTTAGCAGCTTAATGTTTCAAGGAGACAGGGTGCCTTTGGTTTGAATTTTTGAGGTTCTCAGCTTGGAGTCTATTACTCTAAAGAATGAGTTCAAATAGATCACTTTAAACCAATGTTAATAGCACATCTCAACTGGGGAGACTTTAAAACCCCCAAATGTCAGGGGCTCTCCCTCCAAACCAAGTGGTAGGCCTGCAGCAAAATGGTGTTGACCTCAAGTGTGTAGTTCAGAAGTAGCATGTGATGTCCTGCTCACTTGTAGGAGTTATATATACTCTCCCTCCCCACCCCTTTAAAAACAGAAACCTTACACCATCTGAAATTACCTTCTCCAAACCTACATTTTTATCTTGTCAGCGTCAGTGATGGTGGCAGTACCTCTGGGTCGAGAACGATCTCTTCCACAGGTTTTATTTTTTATGGGTCCTTTGGTTACAGAGGAGTCCAATCTTGTTGAGCTGCAAACTCGTTGCCAGATGTTGCAGGTGATGTTAGAAGGCAGGGTTATGCCACGATTGCTGCATGACAGTCATCTGTCCTTTCTTTCTTTTCTGGCATTTTTCTGTGACCAGGGCAAGGCAATTTTCCTCACAAGTGGTCGTTCCTTCTCCGACAAGTCGTCGCCAGTTAGCCCTGTCCTGGGCTATTGTCTCCCAGTGCATGGTATCGATGCCACCTCTCTTGATCTATGTCTTGAGGGTGTCTTTGAAGCATTTTTTAGGCCTTCCCATTTCCTTTCTTCTTGAGTGTTGTGGTAGGCGTGCATCAGGCATGCGCACACAGTGCCTGCTCCACCTCAGCTGGTGCAGGATAATCAGGGCCTCACCAGTGAAGGTGTTGGCCTCTGACGACAGTACGGTGATCCTCCTACTTTATGTTGAGGATCTTCTGGAGAAAGTGCTGGTGTTCCAGGTTTGTCAGGAATTTTCTGTTGCTCACCCAAGACTCGCAGCTGTAGAGGACCGTTAGGATTACCACAGCTTTGTGAATAGGGTTGTCTCCCAGAATTGGCCTCAATCTCCTGGCAGCTATTGAAAGCCATCCGGGAGATTTTAATAGGCCGCTAAAAGTCCGGTGGGCAGTGCAGCAGGGCCAAAGCAGGCTCCCTACCTGCCCTGGCTCCATGTGGCTCCTGGAAGTGACCGCCGCATCCCTCTGGCTCCTAGGTGCAGGGGCAGCCAGGGGCTCTCTGCGCACTGCCCCCAGCCCGAGTGCTGACTCCACAACTCCCATTGGCTGGGAACCCTGGCCAATGGGGGGGGTGCCTGCAGGCAGGGGCAACGCGCAGAACCCCCTAGGAGCTTGATATGCTGACTGCCTAGCAGGAGCCCGGATCCCCTCGTGCATCCCAACCCCCTGCCTGAGCCCACTCCCACACTGAACCCCCCAGCCCAGAGCCTGCACCCCTGCCCCAACCTGGTGAAAGTGAGTGAGGGTGGGGAAGAGCAAGGGGGGATGGAGTGAGAGGGGCAGAGCAGGGGCTGGGGCAAGGTGTTGGTGTTTGTGCGATTAGACAGTTGGCAACCCTATTTGTAAATTAAAAGTCTAGTGTGTGTTCTGATGTTGTGGTTGTTGAACACCCAGCGAGACACTCTTTTATCTTGTACGCAGCAGCTCAGACAC